ATATTATAAAACTGATCACACTACAGTCATATTAAATTTTGATCCCTGAAATCCTTGGTAACACCAATGTTCACTTTATTTGGTTTTGTTGCAGTATGTCCCATATATCACAACCAATTACATTCAATTTTTAATACACTACAACAACTAATTGCATTCAATTTTTACATTTTCAATACAAAGCATATTTTATTTTCTTTTACAATGTTGTCAAGTTTTGCAACCCATCAATGCTCACAGCCTCCAATCTTCCAAAACCACCTATCATTTGGCAAAATCTGTTATTGCTGATATTACCAACATCATCATGACTTGGAGCATTTGAAAGGTTTTGATTGATTTCATTATGATGGATGTATGAATTCAAAAAATAATAGTTGATTTAAATTTTTTAGAGGTGTTAAAACTTTCAAACATCTTCTGGATGTAATTTAAGGTGAGGAGTTAAATTAAATTTATTTATATTCAAAAGAAAAAATAGTTTTTTTCACTTTATTCAGCATTGTATGAACAATTGATTATTAAAGTGTGGAATTGATTACTGCGGGCTGACTTATTTATTCTTCACACTTTTCAAAAAAGGAATGGTCGTTTTTAACATTAGAAAAAATCAACACCCCGAATTGTTACACGATTTCCAAAAAGGCAAGAATCTTTTCAAAAAAAAACTTCCTTTAATAATAATGAATTAATTCCAAATTGTTGTTTTCTAGTGGCGATGCTAATACTAAAACAATAATGGATTAATTTCTTGTTGGTATTTTTAGTAGCAGGAAAGAATCTTTTTCAAAAAAAGCTTAATTGATTTTTCTTTAACAATAATGGATTAATTCTAAATTTTTAGTGGCAGGAAAAGACTTGATTTTGATCAAATGATTTTTTTTTTACTTATAAATACAACCTTTGAATGTGTTGGGAGAGTGATGTGATCATGATCATGATTCAATGATCAATGATCAAAGGAATCACGAAAATTTCCAAAAAGAGACAGTATCGTTGCCAATATTTCCAATCCCTTCTAAATTGTTACATTGATTTAGTTGGGTTGTATGTATTCTTTTGTTAATAAATGACCGACTTTTATCTAGTTTACATGTTGTAATTAGTTTAAACTATTTGTTTATTTTTCAATCTAGTAAAACAATCAAACTAATTATTATTTTAAATTCTATTTATTTTTTTGAATTATTATTATGGATGTTTAGAAAGTGGTACGTACAATTTTAAATATTCCCTAATACTAATAATAATCGTGTAGTTTTCCGCCAATTTGGATTCCCATGAGAATATTCGACATCCGCCAAAATTGTAAATTTCGGATATTAATATTTTAATTTTGGCGGATGTCGAATATTCTCATGGGAATCCAAATTGGAGGAAAACTACACGATTATAATTAAATTGATTGAAATGGTATATAGTATTCCTTTTTCATCTGTAGATTGTGAAAGAGGGTTCCTCGTCAACATATAATCATTAAATACAGAAAGTTTAGATGTGTTGATGCAGGTATCTTTGGGGGTCCACCAAGTAAAGAATTGATTTCGATAGAGCATATACTATCCGGAATTCATTGAAAGATATGTAGTACATGAATAAAATCTAATTATAAATTAGAAATAGAATTTATAAATAAAAAAATTTTTTTACCGAAAAATCTTTCCTATATAATTTTGTCGAAAAATAGCAAAATCAGAGTACCTTTTGTACGCTGCTCAAATCTATTGGACCAAAAGAAATGTCGAATATTATTATGTTACATCATAGTGGTGTTTGTTGAATGAGCAAGTATCATATTAACAAAGTATTAGTATTACGAATGTATTACGAAATATCCAAAAGTATTACAAATGTTATGAGTATGCAAAGATGTTTTTTAAAAATATTAAAATATTACTTCTAAATATCTAATTATATGCAGAATAATAATATATTTACTCATTCTGTTTGTGTTCTTATAATTAATATTAATATAGCAACATAACAAATTTCAGCATTAAAATAGATTGATATTTACCTTTAGTTATATATATATAATTAACAAACTAATAATAAAAGGCTCATCCAATTGTCATACACCTCATGACCAAATCGTACAACGTTTTTTCCATGACGGGGTCAAGAACGTCTGCATGTATCACGTTAAATGAGATCAATTTTCCTGTTTTGAAATTCATCATGTTTGAAGAAATGCACCCAATTTTTTTTTATGAACCAAATCTATTTAATCAATTTTAATGCTAATTAAAATGCAAATTAAAATGCAAGTATTAGTTATCTATAAAATCCCAAATTGCCTAATTATTTGTCTGCTATGTAATTAATATTAAACTATATAATAATAAAAACTCCAATTGTTAATGATTTCATTCACAAATAGTAAATGGAAACAAATTTTGGTTTGTAAAAAAAAATCTTTTTGGCACTTTTTTTTTATTCGTATTAGATCCTTACAATTTACATAGGTTTGGGAAAACATATAATAAACGTTGCTTATTAGTTTAAAATGAAAAATAAAAAAAATTTTTATTACTATGTAAATGTCCAATTTCAGATTTAGAGGATGAACATATCCGTTAAGTCGAGATTCACTGTGTACATACATACAATCCGAACTAGATTTGTCGAGACAGAAAGTAGCTGGGCTTAAGGCCGAGAATACAAAACTAAAACAGATTATAAAAGGAAATGCTGAGCTTAAAATCAAAAATGCGGAACTAAAACGAGCTGTTGAGAAAATCAATCTCCCGTTTGTTCAGAATTGCCAGTGGCTTCCCAATCAGAGGATCTTAGAAAGAAATCAAACCTGAGATTTCAATTGAGCAAGACATCTAATCAGAGTCTCAAATTTCTGTTGAACCAGAACAAGTGAGTGCCTGAGTTTCACCATTGCCTATTCATTTCCTATTATCGAAAAAGAGCAAGTATTATATGATGATGATTTCATCAAAATCCGTGAATTTCTTGACTCAGGAACCATAAAAAATATTCATGATCGGAAAAAATGCAGAAAGTGAAGCTTCAAACCAAGATCCATCCTTATTTCATCGAAACACTTCTTTAACATCATCCAAGTCATCATGTGATATATCATGTAAGAATTTAATTCTGTGGTCGAAAGACTAAGTTAGCATATTTTATTGTGTGGGGAGGGAGGCTATATAAACTGGCTTCGATAAATTTACTCATAATCTTCCGAGAGATTATTCCCAAAGCTTCTAATATCTTTAGGTTCTTTTCTACATTTCTTCCAATTTCAACATCAGGGTTACCATCAGCATATATTTTCAAATCGACTACATTTCTGATTTCTTTTGTCTTGCAAAGCATGAATTTCTTTCACGTAAATAACTTGCTTTTTCACTTGTTATGTTTTTAAAAAAAGAAGTGGTAATCATAAGAATGATCCGTTTACTGCGCATTCAGTAAAAGTTAAAAAATTGCAAAGCTTAACCAACAGATTATTGAGGAATTGCCAAGGATCCTTATAAAAACTCTTGCTCTGAAATACCGAGAATCTTCCAGTGAAAATTTATACTGAAAACATACATTTTCTGTATGATAAAACTGGAGAATTTTATTGTTTCGTGCGTTTTAACATCTTTTGTTCTTGGAATTATTTGTCATAAGGCATAAAGAAAAATAACAAATTAAAATTTACAACCATCAAGTTATTTTGTGCTGGTTTTGAATAAGGGATATCTTTAAACTTGCCTTTCACAGATATTCTTGATGCTCAATATCCATAGGAATGGGCGTCAATGATGCTTTAATTGATGATTCGCCTATGAGTCAGTAAAACTGCTGTAGAAATACTACTAATCTCTCAAAGTAAAAAAATTTTTTCAATACAAGCAAAAAATATATATATATAGATAATTTATTTGCACGCCACAAAAAATTTACAAAGGTTCTTGCTTGATAAATTCTGCCCCATATTTATATTGAATATGATGAATATGAATGGAAAATATCTTTATAATATCCTAAATAAAATACTTGATTCAAATGAAATGTAAACAATAAAAAAAATATATTTTCATTTTGTTTTGTTTTTTGTGTCAAAAAATAATATTTCTCACTCATTTATTCATTATTATTAAATTTCACACAATTAGAAGTGAATTGGCATTATTACCTTATAAAAGTTTAGATCTATCTTCAGAACATTATCCATTCATATTACTTGAACAAAATCTTGGTTTGCCATTAGAGCACACAGCCAACATATTTAAATATGCTCATGAGCAATTTATGAAAAATAAGCATAACATAATAAATATTGAAAACAATAGGAATGTTAATGAAGAAGAAAGTGATTATCAAGAAATCATTAAAACATTAAAAGAGTCTTCTAGATGCATGATATTAATTAATCCAGAGTGTTATACTGTTATTAATACAAGGTAGCTATACAAACTTTCCTTTTATAATATTAAAAAAAAAAAAAGAGAAATTATATTTATTTATTATATTTTTATTTATTGTTTAGAAAAAAATTAATCTTGAATAAATTAATAGATCCTGAATATGAGTTAAAGCTGATAGATCTAATCTTAACTTTTCCTAAACATACAAAAGGTTCTATTATTTGGCATCATAGGTTAGAGGAAGAAGATTACATTTTTATATTCTTAATTTTAATTAATTAATTGATTTTTTTACTTTCTTCGATTGAAAAGGAAATGGACAATTTTACAAATTCAATCATTGCAATCTTTTTCATCACCTAATGGATATTTTTTGACAGAAAAAAATTTAACTCATGAAATTAAAATAATTCAACATGTTTTAAATTTATATCCAAAAAATTATTTTTCCTGGCTACATAGGTATTGGATGCTTGAGCAACTTGAATCTATGACAACTGTGGCAGCAGTACCATCATTATTCAACAATAATAAGGACAAGGAAGAGGAGGAAAGATTGAGATTTTATAACGAATTTTTATCTCAAGAATTAAAAAATGTTAAAAATTGGATAAATTTAAATTTATCAGATTATTCAGGATTTAATTATTTACAAAATTTATTAATTAAAATTATTAAAAATTTACACTGTAACAATCAAAAGGAAGAAGGTGATGGTAATAGTGATGAAAATTCCACCATTAAAAATAATTTATTTGGATTTTCAAGAATGAATTTATTTGAATTATTATCATTGCAAAAAAATCAAGAAAATCAAAAAGGAAATAATTTAGAAAGCAATGTTATTATTAGAAAATTAATGGTGAAAGAATTTAAATTTATCAAAAGATTAATTCTAAGATATTTTGGATATGAAAGTTTATGGTATCATTTAAGATTTCTGAAATTTCTATGGCAGTACCTTCATCAAGAATTAATTAATAATAACAACAATAATGATGATGATAATAATCATTACCAAAAAATCAAAATTAATTATTTTTCAACATTTCTTGGAGAAGAAAATGAGAGGAATGAAGATGATGCTGACATTGAGGTTATTAATTGTTCTCCAACTTTTGATAATGAATTAAATTTCTCAAATCATTGTGTTAACAATATCAACAACATGTTATCAAACAATTTATTAGAAGACAATAAAAATCATGATGATGAAGAATTTATTGCTGTTGGAAAAGGACTTGATATTGGAATTGTTAAACAATTAACAAAACAAAAATGTTTTGCATTAAATTATCAACTTTGGATCTTTGAATTGGTAGGTATTTGTTTATTTATTTATATGGCAGTAATTGAATTTATATAATAAAATATATTATAACAATATTTTTTCCTTTAATCATAATAAAAAGTATTGTAAGCCAATAGATGATGAACAAGTAAGGAGTTTAATCAATGAATTAGCAGAGTTAATTCCTGAAACAAATTACTACAATTCATTATTAACAAGAAAAAAAGCTATGTCAGATTCTTAGTCAAATCATTCATTAATAATAAAAATATTTATTAATAGTTAATACAACAAACTTTTGGCTATATGTATTATTTGTGACATTATTCACTATACAGTTGTTTGTTATATATAGTGTGATCCTGCTTAGAAAGAGAGAATTGTACATATAATATAATTAATGATGATAACCTATTCGTAATATTTATTTACATGTAAATATAAATGAAATTGACTCTAAAATGTTTCTAAAATGTCCATGTAAAATAATTAATAAATGAATAAAAAGTGAGCAAATAGTAATAAAAAAGAGACAATTCATTAAATGAATTCATAATAAATATAACATGAATGATGATTTTATAATGTCAAAGGTGGTTTTCTAAATTCATGATTATCAATTTCAAATGAAAAAATACATAAAGATGACTATTCCATGCAATTGTAAAAATTGTGTCTCTTTTTTATTCATCATTACATTCCAAGAATTGTCTCATTTTCTTCTCATCATCTGTAAAGATTTTGTTAACTGGGTCTATTTGATTCCACTCAAAATGGTTGATAATATGATAATCAAAAAGACAGTGCATCAGCAAATTTGAACAGACATGAATTATCACTGCGTGCAATTGTACCATCTGGAAAATGTAATTTCTTAAATATTGAAATAGTAGATAAATTATCTACATCAATTCCCACTTTTTGAGATGTGTTAATGAAATCTCTTAAACATGTTGGAAGATTTTCCAATCCAACCTTAAATTGTATTGGCAAATTTGATGTTAGTTTAAATTGATTGTTTGTATTCCTAGTATTTATATGAACAATTTGATTTGTAATTTTATTAAGGATATATTTTCTCTGTATCTATTATTAAAAAAAAAAGTTTAATCAAATAGCAATATAATAATTATACCAACTATCAATATATGGCTTACAATAGCAAGCATTTGAGAATCAAAATTTCATTTGTTTGTTCTTTTATAATTATTCTTTACATATGACTTCTAGGTAGCAAGCAGGACAAATTTGTAAAATAAAATAAATTGACCAAAAGGCTACTTTGCAATATGTGATTCACATCAAAATCCTTTAAACAATCTTTAACCAGTCCCAAAAACTGCATCTAAAGACCGGTCTTTTGGAACCGAGACCGGACCGGACTGGACCAACACAACCCTAATCTTAATCTAATCAAATTTTAATTTCTGAGGACGCCCTATATATCGCTTCCTCCAAGTGGATTTTAGATCGTTCATCGAATGTTCTTCCGAGATGCAATAAGATTTTAATGTCTTTAGAAAACCCAAATATGACCATAATAATGGGTGTACTCTCAAAATATGACTTAACTGATAAATCTAGTTCAGTGGGCATTGAACTAAAAGCAAAACAAGTTACGCGTAAAAAAGTTACACGGGACTCGGATTATTAATAATAAAGAAATTTAAACATGGCGCGATTGGTTGATCTATAAAGAAATTGATTGGATAATTTTAGATTGCTTTTAATATACTTTCAAGACAATAAAAAAAGAAGGTCCTTAGCAACATTTTTTATTAATAATTGGTAATGAATTATTCTATAAAATATTAGCATAAAAACTCTTGCTATAGTTTCAATGAAAAAATATGTAATAAAGTACACCTATGGTAACAAATATTACATATCAAAATGATTAAATTTGAGAAAAAAGCATGTCCCATCCATAAAATTATGAAAGCAATTTCTCGTTTGATACATATATTATTTACTCATTACCTATGATATATTAAACTATTACACAATTCTTATCTAATAATGAATATTAAATATTAAGTATATTATAAATATTAAATTTGTTAACGTATTCACCATAAACTAATACATATAAAATACCATTATAATCAACCCACAGCCATTATTCATACCTTCTCTTGGTCCAGTAATCTTTTACATTATTTAGAACTATGAGATAGCCAACCAAAGTGGAAGAGTTATATAATTAACGTTATAAATGTACCTTTAGCTTTTATAATAAAAAATAAATAAATAAATTAAATAAATAAAAGTGTTCATTTATCAAGACTTCTCAAATTACTAACCTGCATATTAAACAGATTGCAGTAGAGGTGTATGGTTTTTTATGGATCCTGGTAGTTATTTAAATTATTTAATTTGAATTATTATTTTTAAAATGAACATATTATTTACCAAATGCAAAAGGTCTTCTATGACCTCCACCTTTTTTCAAATTATTTTAACAGTTAATAGAATAATGTGTATTTTCTGAATATAATAAATAATTTTATCATAAGCAGATATTCTCCCAACATTAATTTCAACCAATCAAATCATACAATTAAAACCAACTGCTTAGAAGTGTTTTTCCCGGATTATATATTACACATCTATAATTTATAAAAAAATGGCAACCAGGATTTATATTGGTCGTCTCTCTAGAGACGCCCGTGAACGTGATGTTGAAAAACTTTTTCGTGGTTATGGTAGTATTAGAGAAATAAAATTGATGAATGGGTTTGGCTTTGTAGAGTTTCGTGACCATCGTGATGCTGATGATGTGGTTTACGCCTTTAATGGTAAAAGTTTTATGGGTGAAAAGTATGGAATGATTTTGATTTTATTCATATTTTTATCATTAATTAATAAGGATATAAAAATTAATTTTTTTTTTTTTTTTACAAATTTAATAATAAATAATAGATTAATTGTTGAATATGCTAGAGGAGAACGTAGAAGACATGATAGAGACGATCGTAGAGACAGAGACAGAGATGATCGTAGGGACCGAGATAGAGATAGAGATAGAGATAGAGATAGAGATGATCGTCGCAGAGATGATAGAGATCGTGGAAGGTATAAGCCATAAAGAGTTTTATAATATATAATTAATCATTTGTTTATTAAATTTTTTTTAATACCTACTAATATATTTATTATATTCAATTAATTAATTTTCAAAAAAAAAATATGTATTATCAATAGATTTGCACCGCCTCAAAGAAATCCTCAATGTAGATTGATTGTGGAAAACTTGTCTTCAAGTTGTAGCTGGCAGGTATGCAAACATTTTCCAAAATTCAAACATATATACATATATGTGCATATATGTACCTACAGCACTTGTATAATTATTGGTTTTTCTACAAGATTGATATTGGATTTGGTTATATATCTCTCTTATCCCCTTTTATGCTCTCGTTGGTTGGTTGGTTAATTTGATTTGATGTTTTGGTCTTTTCTTACTTTGAGAAATGTCTATTCGTGGGTTTATTTATCATATCTTTTCCATAAATATTCCTTCAAAAAAAATAATCAATCAATCAATCAATCATCATCATCATCATAATTATAATCATAATCATTATTATTGTATAATGCAAATTTAACCACATAATATTATATGTCAGGAAATAAGGAGATTGAGGGTCACAGTAATTTAAAAATAAGGATTCTTTATATTTCCTACCGAAAATATGGTTAAATTTCGATCTATGATTTGGGTTGCCATTTGCATTTTCTATTTTCTACTACTACTGCTGATACTACTACTACTATCATCACTGCTGCTGCTGCTGCCTATGGATCCACCATCTCTTGTTCCTTCCATTTTGGTTCTTATATGGAAAAATTAATACAAGAGTCTTAGGGGATCTTATCATCTATGAAGAACATCGTCCATTTACCATATTCTCAACTTCCACCTCTCTCTACTCTACCATTCATTTAAAAGGATCTTAAGGACCTAATGCGAAAAGCCGGCGAAGTAACTTTTGCAGATTGTCATAAAGATCGTATTGGTGAAGGGTATTTATTTTATTTATTTATTTATTATTTATTTTTAATCCATATTTTAATTCATGTTTTTTTAATATTTTCCTATAATAGTGTTGTTGAATTTTCTTCTTATGATGACATGAAAAATGCTATTAGAAAACTCGACAATGTAGAACTAAAAGGAAAACGCATCATTCTTCATGAAGCATCGGTGAATAAAAATATTTTCTTTTGTTATTATAGTTGTTCTTTTTTTAATAACGTTAGTTTACAACCCAAATTTATAATGTAAACATTTGTAGAATAACGATTCTGATCATAATTATGATCGAGATTATCGTCGTCGTTCACGATCTCCTCACCCTAGACATTCAAGGCGTCACCATTCCCCTTCTCGATCTCCACGCCATCGTCATTCAGATTCAAGGTCTAGATCACCTTCCGATAATGGAAAAGATAACAACAATTCTCGGTCAAGAACTCGCTCCCGATCTTCTTCACCACCACCACCCAATGAAAATGGAAATGAAAAAGGAAATGTAAATGATGATAAAAATGTAAATGATGATGGAAATTTAAACGATGATAAAAATGGAAACGGTGATAGAAATGGGAATGATGAATCTCATAATAGTCCTAAACAAAGTCCTTCTAAAAGTGAAGAACATATTGTTCAAGACGATGATGAAAAGTAAGTTAAGTTTTATTGTTTGTTTATATGTCTAATTAATATTATTCTCGATTGAAAAAGGGAAATTATGATTATTAAATCTAATGATTGATTTTATTTATTTATAAATAGGGAACTTGAAGCTGCTGATTCAATGTGAAATCAATTAATATATAACTAAAGGTTGATAGTTTCAATATAATAATGTCGTCGATGATAATGATAATTTGATGTTTCAAGAAGTTTTTTTTTAATAATGTATCATTTTTTATATTAAAAAAAATAAATTCTTTATTAATGATAAGGGAAATTCATTAAACCAAAAAAAAATTCATAATCTAATTAAAGAAGGCTTTTCAAACGCATATATATATATATACACTAATTATAAATATTTTTATATCCAAAAATATTATTATTAAAACACTAATTAAATACAATGTTCCTTCTTTCAAAACTAAATTGTTTGTTAATTACATAAAATAAAAAATAATATATATAGAAGATTTGCAAAAAAAATTATTTATAAAGTACAAATTTTTCTAATATTATATAATAATAAAAAAATGATAATAATATAGTAAAAATATGTAATATGTAATAAAAATATATAATATGTAATAAAAATATATAATATGTAATAAAAATATATAATATGTAATAAAAATATATAATATGTAATAAATTTACCTCTCCCCGAAAAATCAAGTATAATTTATCTTGCTGTTCCTTCGGTAGTTAGAAATGCAGCACCTCCACCATAACCATAACCCTAATAATCAAAATAATAATAACAATAAATATTTTTGTTCTTTTGTTTCTTCTTTAAAAATATATATATATAAACCTTTGGTCCAAAATCTCTTGAATAACAAGCTCTACAATAAATCTTCCCTTCTCTATCAGTTATATTTGTAGAATCTAAGAGTTTACTACATTTGATACAACGTAAACACAATTTATGATATTTTATACCAGCTCCCATCACCTAAAAATATAAAATAAAATAAAATAAACATTAATTTTACTTTTATATATCTAATATAAATTAAAATTTTAAATTCTTAATATTTACAGCTTCTGCGGCATAAACAGCTTTTGAACAACGTGGACATATATCATTATTATTTGGTAAAGTGAAAGCACGTCTAGGTCCTTTAGGTGATTGAGGCCTAGAACTAAAAAATCCAAGTGATGGACTTGATGGAGAAGTAGGTGGGGATGACGATAATCTATCGAGGTTTGATGTCTGACCATTAACTGGTGTGGTCATTGATCTTGATTTTAATGGTTTGTCTGTACTCAAGAATGATGAGCCTGATGCAAAACCATAACCTTTAGAAATAAAATAAAATAATTTTCAAAATTATTATTTTGTAAATTATTCATTATTATTTTATTATTAATTATTTCAAATAATAATGATGATAAACCTTTAGGTCCATAACGACGTCCATGACAAACTTTGCAATATGCCTTTTGAAAGAAAATATTAATGATTTTTATGGAGTAATCAATCAATCAAGTTCAATAATATAAAAAATTTAATGATTTACCTCTCCTTCATGTTCTGCGAGTGTGAATGAATCCAATCGTTTATTGCAATCCTTTTGTAATAATAATAAAAATTAATATTAACGAAATTGAACACACTTAAATTAGGTTGGATACGAATGAATTCTTACAATGCAAGCTAAACAAGTTTTGTGCCATGCTCCATTGGGTCCAATGGCCTTTTTTAAAAATGTCAATTTGTTAAATATTTTTAAAGAATTCGAAATCAATAATTTTACTTATAAGCATTTCTTATTTAATTTACTTGTTCAGCCATATATACTGCCTTTTGACAGCGAGGACATTGAGGAGTACCACCCCAGCGTGAAGAAGACATTATTTAAATTGAAAGTAATTTAAAAAAATTTAAAATTGCAATCGTATACCACAAAATGAAAATGGAATTGCAATTTTCGAGAAAAAATATTTATAATATTAATGCTTAGGGTGGTTAATTGTCTCGTTACCGACAAAGTTTAAAAAATTTGGTTTCACTCAATTCATTCAAAAATGCATCATGTATTTATGTATAAATTTTATGTTCAAATCACACTTAATATGGTTAAAAATTGCAGGGAGTTCAAAATTCAAAAAATTCACTAGCTAATTTACTATTGGTCAAAACGACTTTATTTATATTATTTTTTATTGACCCGTATTAAGTTATCAATTATTATTATTAATTTATTCCATAATAAATTAAACTAACTTCCTTCACTCTATTTTTAACATAAATGAAATTTTGTCCAAAAGGAGAATAAAAAAAATTATATAATAATGGACGAAAAAATAAAGATTCCTCCTAACAATTTATTAAATCGAATTCAATCCTCAATCAACTCATTAAGATCTACAGCTTACGCTCATTATTATCCACTACAGATTTCCTCTTCATATAATAACTTTAGACAGCCTTCAAGAACATTTCCTCATTTCATTAGACGCAAATGGAGTTATATAACTTTTGGTTTGATTATACTCATAATAGTGATGGTAAAGATAAAATTTGCACGTGAAATAGATCCTTTTGAGGAAACACCCGCATTAACAGGGTGAATATTATATATAAATTATAAATTATTGTTATTGTAAATTTTAAAAACTTTAATTAATCAATGAGCAAAATATTGACTTTTTAAATAATAATGATATTTTTAATAGTCATTCAATACCGCAACAAGCACAACCACAACGACCACCGCCTCAATTTTCAACTTTTACAGACAATTATCCAAAAAAACTTGCAATCTTAATATTACCATCGTCCAACTCATCAATTGGAACATATAATAAAGCAATTGTGGAAACTTGGGGAAAAATAGCCAAAAAAAATAAATCATTAAGTGTAGATTTATGGTTTGCGACTTCCGAAGATACTTTAAAAAATTTTGGGTGGCCCAATGTACCAGTCTTTACAAGCAAAGAAAATGTTATTGATAAAACAAGCAATGACAAAAAATCTGGATTAAATGATTTAGAAAATTCAACCGAAGAAAATAAAATTCCACAAAAAAAAGATGATTTAAAAGAAATGATGAGAGAACTACTTGAACAAACAATGGTATTTAAAGAACCATACAAATTAAATGAAATGCAAAAGGAATTTAAAAATCTTACAAAGGTAAATTTATCTTGTTTTTTTTTTTTTTGGAAGAAATAATACTAATATATATTCTTTATTTATTATTTTGTTTAAGGCATTACACTTCCTTTATGAATATCATCTTGATCATTACGATTATTTCCTAAAAATTTCAGATAAAACTTTTGTTCAATTGCCACGTCTTCTTAATCTACTCTCAAATTACAAGCCTCCATTTAAACCTAGGTTGATTGGACATCCTGATGTTGATTTTGATACAAACAAAAAATTTTGTTGGAAAGGTCCAGGTAAATAACGTAATAATAAAATTATTTTTTATTATAAACGATGAGAAAAGATTTTTTATTCATCTCGCGCAATTTTTATAGGTTACATAATGAATAAATATCTTTTAGCAATAATTGGACCACATTTGCCATTTTGTTTAGAAGATGACGAAACTATGACAGAAGATTTAGCATTAGAAAGGTGTTTAAATAAATATGTTCCAAGTTTTAATGGATGTGAGAGTCTTATTAATGGAACAGGTTATGAATTTTTATATATAAGACCTGATGATGATGCAAGTTGGGAGAATATGGTTAATCCTGAAAGACAATTTAATGATGGAAACACCAATGGACAAACATTTGCTGATGCCATTACAATTGGAGAAGTTGATGAAATACATAAATTAAAAGATTTAGAAAAATTATATGGTATTGGAGGAAAATATGAATCATTAATCGAGAAGTTGATGAAAAAAAGAATAAAATTATCGAAAGGTGTTCCTTTTGGACATCCAATAAAAAATGATGATGATTTAAAAGCCAAAAAATTGGCTCATGCACCAACAGCACCACCATCAATAGCAACGATGACGCCTTCAACCTCGAAAGTTTTAGCAGCAGTAGAAACTTTAACAACAGAAAGCTTCAAAATTATGGATGAAGATGATAATGATTTTAAAG